TGATATGTCTCTTATGTCTTTCTTTTTCTAAATAAACTTTTAATTTTATACCAGTTTTATATTTGTAGAAAAATTGCGAAGACAGTTCAGAGTTCCCATAAACCCCACACTCAGTTTCCTCTCTAATTAACATCTTACACAAGTACAGTACATTTGTTATAATTCATAAACCAATATTGATGCTCTATCACTAACTAAAGCCCATACTTTATTCAGATTTAAAACATTTTTACCTAATATCCTTTTTCTGTTCCAGGGTCCCACCCAGGGTACCATGCTAAATTTAGTAGTCAAGTCTCCTTAGGCTCCTGTGGGCTGGGACAGTTTCCCAGACTTACTTTGTTTTTGATAAGGCGTTTTTGAGGAGTACCGGTCGGGTGTTTTGAAGAATGTCCCTCAGTTGGGATTTGTCTGATGCTTCTCATGATTAGACTGGGATTATGTGTTTTGGGGAGGAAGACCACAGAGGTAAAGTGCCATTTTCATCACATCACTATCAACATGACTTGTCACTGTTGACGTTCACCTGGATCGCTGGCTGAGGTAGTTTTTGTCAGGTTTCACCACTGCAGATTTACTTTTTTCCCCCTTTCCACACTGTACTCTTTGAAAGAGAGTCACTGTGTGCTGTTTACGTTTAAGGAGTATGGAGGAGTTGTTCTCCATCTCCTTGAAGGCTGAGTAATTATGTAAGTTGTTTGGAATTCTCCAGTATGGGAGATTTGTGTCTTTTCCTCCAATTACTTACTCAATCATTTATTTATTTATGTCAGTATGGACTTATGGGTATTTATTTTACACTTTGGATTTTTGTTTTTTGAGACAAGAATCTTGCTCTGTTGCTCGGGGTAGAGTGCAGTGGCCTCATCATAGCTCACTGCAGCCTCAAATGCCTGAGCTCAAGCGATCCACCCGCCTCAGCCTCCTGAGTAGCTGGGACTACTTGTGCGTGCCACCACACCTGGCTAATTTTTTTTTTTTTAATTTGTTTTAGAGGGTTTCACCATGTTGCCCCAGCTGGTCTCAAACTCTTGGCATCAAGCAATCTTCCCATATAGTCTGTTCTTAAGACAGCAGCCAGAGTGATTTTTTTTTTAATGACATTATATTTCTTCTGTTTATTCTATGTGTCTCATTTCTCTTGGAGAAAAAGCCAAAACCCTTATAAAGTAACAAGAATAAATAGAGTGACCATATGTCTAGGTATGCCTGGGAAAGAACTGGTTTATACCTATTGTCCTGACATCCTATCTGATTTATCATTTTTTCTGACTTTCTCACTTTTAAATAAAATATTAATAATTGCATTAAAATAAGTTGTGATGGATTTAGTAGATCAAATACTTTGTATTTCTATCTTCCTTTGTTGTCTTCTTTCTTATATTTGTTATCTACATACCCTAAATAGAGTTCTCACTTTAACACAAAGATGGCCAATAAGAACTTGTCCTCCTTCTTCTGACTTTCCAGATGCAAAGAAACTAACACTCTTTCAAGGACTAGGTGCCTGCTGATAAAAATAATCATACTCAGACACAAATGGCTACCATTTATTACCATTGTGAATGCTACCTCCTTACAGTCTTGGGAAGTAGGAGGTGCAGGGGGAGAAGTGTTGGACACTGCTGCCCATGTTGGTCTCTTGGAGTTAATAGCCATTTATGCTGTGACCTATGTCATACCTGCAATATGCCCTAAGCCTCCAGGCTGCCTTTTGACTGCTCAGTGAAATTGTAGGTTTGGCTTATGAGAAATATATATGGGAAATAGAGGCTAGGCAATCCTGCTTAGAGAGAACAGTCTCATTATAGTGGTTTTATCCTTTAGTATTTAGTGTAAATTGACAACTGTATAGTTATTTTACTGTTTGGTAAGGATTTTTTTTTATTTTCCAATGAATCCTTTTGGCTAAAATAACTAAAAAAGGAAAAAGGAATTCATGTTTCATGAAAAATGAAGTATTGAATTTCCATTTCTCATGGCAGTTCATCATAATATGTAACTTGCACAAAAGACCATAATTTACTATCCATAAGGGCCATAGAAATATCACTGACCATATGAAAACCAGAAGACACAAATCTGATGATAAAAGCCTCAGTGTCTACTTTGTAAGTCAGTGGTTATTTTAAGAAGACTGTCTGAAGACAACAATTCAACATGTGCAGCTGCAGAGAGTACATTTACATATCATTCTGGGATATGTGATTTTTCATTTAGACTAAATGACTGTTCTAAATTAATTTTTCCCGGTATTTTATTATGAAAATTTTTAAACATATAGCAGAGTTAAAGGAATTTTCCTATGAACACTTTTAATACCCATCAGCTAAATTCTACCATTAACATTTTAATAAACTTACTTTACAACATATCCATCTGTCCATCCTTCTAGCCATCCATCAGAACATCTTATTTTTTGGATGCATTTCAAAGTAAATTGCAGGCATTAGTATATCTCCTCCTAAATCTATGTCATTAACTACATGGATATATATATATGTGAAATGAACTATATCATTATCTACAGTCCAGTATTTATATATACTTTTTATAAAATTAACAATGAAATGCATAAATCTTAAGTGTGCATATGCTGAATATCGACAAATGCATATACCTGTGTAACCTATGCTTCTACTGAGATATAGAAGGTTATCATTACACTAGAAAGTCCCCTCATATGCTGTCCCAGTCAATTTCCACTCCTTCCTTAGAGGCAACCACTGTTCTTAACCTTTTCCATCATAGATTATAAACTAATTTAGTTCATTTTTGACTCCATGTTTTCTTGTACAGCCACAAAACATCAAAGAGTGAAGTCATAGCTATTGCCTTGTTGGCTCCAATGGCAGAAGAACTTTGTACATAGTTAAATGATGTCATCATCAACTGTTTCAAATGGAAAATAATTTAATTTCAAAAATTGATTTTTTTTCATTCCGTTGATGGACTCAAAGTAAAAGTTTTGGAAGTTCATTCTGTGAAGGACACATTTATCAACAGTGTGAATGCTAGTGTAAATTGAGTTCACAGTTCAAAATTGAAGATAAAATATTTGTTTTGTGGTAATACACATACAAATTTTGATAAAAATAATGTCCTAGGTAAAAACAATATCCTTGTTAAATCAAGAAATCTGTGGAGCAGAAATGCGTTTGTAATT